TAAAAAAATTAAAACTTGGGGCCACAGATATGTATCAGCTTTTCTCTGTTTCTCATGTTCCTCCATATTCCCCATCACCTGGTTATTCCCAACAAGATCATGATTCTACTCCAGAATGATAAGGACTTACCTCAATTTTATCTGCTAAAGTCTCCATATATTTCTATTTATGTTCAATATATAATTTCAATATATAATTTATATGCTTAATTATTTCCCATGGTTGACAAGCTCATGGGTTCTCAAAACAATGACAATTATAAACTATAATAACTACACAAATGAACAGTATAAATATTTTTATTTTCGGTATGCGAACAATTTTAACCAGTTCTCATTAAGTATATCTAATTATAGGGGGAGGAATCTTCTTAGATCTTTGAATAACTTCCAGACTCAAAAAAGATTTCAAGTCCTTTATATTACTTCTAACCAGCATTTAAAAATGTGCTAAGTCTACATTCCAATTAACTGAATTGTATACTTTAGCAAGGGAACGGTATGGCACATGAATTATATTTTATTAAGGTTATTTCTTTTTTACTTTATGTGGGGGGGTTTTTTTTTTTTTTCGACAGCAGAGGACAGTGAGAGAGAGAGACAAAGAGAAAGGTCTTCCTTTGCCGTTGGTTCACCCTCCAATGGCCGCCACGGCCGGAGCGCAGCGGCCAGTGCACTGCGCTGATCCGAAAGTAGGAGCCAGGTGCTTCTCCTGGTCTCCCATGGGGTGCAGGGCCCAAGCACTTGGGCCATCCTCCACTGCACTCCCTGGCCACAGCAGAGAGCTAACCTGGAAGAGGGGCAACCGGGACTAGAACCCGGTGTGCCGGCGCCGCAAGGCGGAGGTTTAGCCTATTGCACCACGGCGCCGGCCTATTAAGGTTATTTCAAAGTGAATATATATATATATTTCACTCCATATCCAAAAACAGTAAGTATTATTCAGGGCATAATTTCAAAACATAATTGACAGGTTATCATTTTAAACTAAAGTTCACAGTTAGAAAAATTTACTGTACATATAGTGAACTAAAAATATGTTCTGTTGTACTAATCCATTGATTTCCAATTTTCTTCCTACTTTCAGTTCTTATTCTTGTTACATATAGTCAACAAAGTAATTTTTTAAAGATATAAAACAGAGTGGTATGAAGTAATACAAAGAATAAGAAATCTGGAACAAGATGTTTTATGTATGAAACCTGAGGTCCTACCCACAACTTTTTAGAAATTTAATCTTTTTTTTAAAAAAATTATTTATTTATTATTTGAAAGGCAGAGTCACAGAGAGGCAGAGGCAGAGGCAGAGAGAGAGGTCTTCCATCCGCTGGTTAACTTCCCAAATGGCCGCAATGGCCAGAGCCAGGCCAATCTGAAGCCTGGAGCTAGGAGTTTCTTCCAGGTCTCCCACATGAGCATAGGGGACAAAGCACTTGGGCCATCTTCAACTGCTTTCCCAGGCCATAGCAGAGAGCTGGATCAGAAGTGGAGCAGCCAGGACTCAAACCTGTGCCCATATGCAATGCCAGCACAGCAGGCGGCAGCTTTACCTGCTACGCCACAGTGTGGGCCCCAGAGCAGTTTAATCTTATAAAATTTCTTAAACATGCTCAGCCCTCGTTTCCTCTTCTGTGAATTATCTGCACCTTAAGGAGTCACTGTAAGGACTAAGTAAGACAGGGTTTAAAAAGGCTCTTTAAAGTAGGTACCCAGAAACATTAGCTCCCTTTCCCTCTTATAAATTTGAATCACCAATTTTTCTAAAAACTTATCACATACTAGGAAAAAACTGATTCCAAAAGTTTAAAAAACAGTAACAATGTAATGGCTTATATTAAAAATGCTTGATTACTAATGGGAGAGTTATTTTTGGAGAGTCAGATTATAATGAGAAAAAGTTGTCTCGTGAATATGCAGAAATCCAGAGCTAGGCAGGTATCTTTCAGCCAAGAACTGCTTGGATAAGGCTTTAGTTCCCCCAGCAACTGTGAGAACTCATTGCCTTAAGTTTCTTTTCAAATTATGTTTTTTTATGGTACTTCTATCCTTTAATTGCTGTAAGTATGGATAAATGACTATCTGAGAAAAAAGCATTAAAGGCAGTAGTTTCTACTCATTTAGAAGGAATTACTTTTTTCTGCCCCAAATTGTGTAATTAACTTTGATGGACTAGGGATAGGTCAACAGGAGTCTCTGACAAGAAACAGAGAAGAGATGACACTGAAAACTGTACACCCTCTCCAGTGAAATTTCTGAAGAATGGAATAAAGACAAGGGCAGAAGTGGAGATCCATTAGGTACCAGTTTTTCTTCCAATGGTAATCATAATCCAAGGTTTGGAGACTTTTGGTTCAAGCTATTAATTCTTCTTCCAAGACTCACAGGAAAAACCCCAAAGAATGCCATGAATGACTTCGGACAGAAAAACTTTCCTTCCTAAGTTTTATTTTAATATTTACCGATTATCTATGATCATGTCTCTCCTGACCTTTCAAACAATGACCAGAATCTAGAAAGAATATTGGTAGAGGTGGAAAGAACAAAATGATTATTAATATGTTCTGCTCCTAGTTGCTAAAAGTCTAACATCCCACACCTCAGGAAAAAAAAAAATGCTTTTTAGAATCATAAGATACAGTGACTAAGTTAACAGAAATGTAATGTGAATCTCATGATTCTCTATACATTGTGACTAAAAAAAAAATCAAAGCAAAGGGAACTTCAAATGTTCAAGAAGTAGACAATGATGACAGGTACAATTATTTTAACAATCAATGGAACATTTACAAGCAACATGTAGCTGACAAGAGGTGGTGAGGAACTAGAATGAAAATACAGGGAGTCAGAGCCACAGAACTAGCCAAGGAGCTGCCTCTTTATGTACAAGTGCAAACTGGAGGATTAGGGGTGTTAAATAAAAATTACAGGAGGCCATTAATCGGTACCAAGCTCATGAGTAAGTAGTTCCCAACAGACCAAGCAACAAATCAAAATAGAGGGATTCATGCTAAAATTCCAGGTCATCAAGCTGAAACTAAGCTGTTTATCTGGATTAGAAAGAATAACAAACAGATTTCCCAAACAAGCCAGTTTCAACTGGCATGATAATTAAGTTCACTCTACCTTAATCCTTGCACAAAGGACGTACCTGAAGTAATCTGATGGTAGAAATCAGTTATTTTTCTATTGTTCTGTCTCCCTGTCCCCGCCTTGTAAAGAAAGTAACCTTGAAATGATCATCTACTTTTTTTGTTTCTACTGTCTCCAGCCCTTAAATTGTCCATAAAACTAACTTTATCGGCTCTGTTCATTGAAACACTTACTGTATTTTATGGAGTGAAGTACTGTCCTATTCCAGCATTGAAATAAAGCCAACTAAGATCTTCAGACTAAATTGTTGTAATTTTGTCCTTTGATGGGGAATGGATCAATACTGTCAATGTATGTTGTTTGATCTACACAGTATTCAAAAGTTGGGAGACTGCATATAAATATTGAGGCTTTTGTTTTTTTTAGAAAATGGCAGCATCTATCACTACTGACTCTGTAGTCCCTCATATAACTCCTACACACAGGGCATGCACTCTCCAGTTCATCACAGGGCAGGGTAAGAAGAGTCACTCTATCACTTCTAGATACCAACTCTGGCCACCCTTTATCACTGAGTTTATATTGTAGTTTGTCCTGATGTAGGCAGGGAAGTATCAATTGTAGTGAGAAGCTGAGGTTTGCCAGATCCCCCAGCCTACCTACCAGACAGTCCCGGCTTATCCATGTGGCAATACTGGTTGGTATGCTCTGCCAATACCATCCCTTGTATGTACCATCCAAATCCCTTTTCTCTGCATTGCCCAAAGTACTTTTCATGCACCACCCAAATCCCTCTTGCCTTCCATGTAGCAAAAAACCACAGATTCAGTGATATTACAAACTCAGAAACAGTGCCAGCTAGAAATATGGCTGCAGGCTGCATCTTCACAATGACATTTAGTCATTATAATGTTATCACAGTAAAATTACCATGGTCAATATTCTCAGTCCCATCATGCACCCTATACCATGCCATTTCCAAGATTTCAAAAAACAAATGGCAGGGAAATGGGTGGTATTCAAGTCCTGCCCCAAATTCTACCCCTTTGAGTACTCAATTAAACTGCACCCCAGGTTAAACCCTCTATGTCTCTCTCTATGTATAAAAGCCTGGCCCCAGAACCTTGTTGACTACAGCAACTCTTGAGTTTGCTTGTATTTGTTCCTTAACAGTATACTTTCGGCTTAAATAAATCTTGCTTCTTTTCTTCCCTTGATCTAAGTATTTTCCTTGAATTCTTTCTCATGTAGAAACAAGAACCTGGACCAAACCTAGCCAGGGGTCACTCTACAACAGTTTCACAATAGAGAAATAATTCTTTATATTTATGTCTCTATGGGAAATGTTGATTGGATTTAGAGTATGCCAACCCCAAATATGCCGCTTTGGCATATTAATTATTTTGAGTTAAGGGCACCTAAAAAGAGCAGATATAAGAAGGGCATGCTGACCTTCTTTTTCTTTCTGAAAGGAGGAAATAAAACTCTCATGTGAAAGGTACCCTCCCTACACCAAGAAGGAAGGAAGATATTCTTATCAACAGAGACAGGGAGTTGAGGGTGACACAAATTTGTACAAATAAACCTTGTTAAATTAACCCTTATCTGCTTAGTCACTTTTCCAAGATTAAAACTGTCCTAGTCCAAACTCTTTTGTGTTGTCAAATATTCCCAATTCACTACTCTTTGTCCTAATTTCTTCTTTGGGTCTTCATTTTCCCAGTGAGGACTCCAATGCACATTGAAACTTACTAAATAAAATGTGTATACTTTTCTCCTGTTAATCTGTCTTATGTCAGTTTAATTCTGAGCATTAGCTGTAAGCTCTAAGATAGAGGAGAAATTCTAGGTTCACTAAAGTGTAATGCAAAACAACCTATTTTTTTCTTTTCGTACAGCTGTCTACTTACTTATATTGTCTGGATATTGCCTGAGCAATCATCAAATAAAATCAGATGGTGAGGAAGCAAAGTCACCAAAAGGAGTCCAGAGTGTAAGCTAGAAACAAAGAAAAAATTGTCAGAGTCTAGTATTTGCAAAGGTACCAACTAAACTACAATGCATAAAACTTTCAACCTATCCATTACAGATATGAAGATTTAGCCTACAGATATATTCATGCAGGAGCAAAATAACTGCAGCATTATTTGTAACAGCAAAAGATCAGAAACAAAGTAAATAGCCACCATTAGTAGATGACATAAATAAATCATAGTATAACCATGCAATGCAGCCATAAAAATAATAAGGAAATTCATTATGTGTTAATATGAAACAGACTCCAGGAGAAAAAGAACAAGGAAGAACATAGTGTATATGTTATGTCACTTGTGAAGCAGTGGGGTAGGGAAGAATATTTAAATAAGAATATAGATTTTTTTTTTACTCATGCATAAAATATTTCTGGAAAGGTACAGAAGAAACTGGTAATACTAATTCTCTCAGGAACGGGAACTTGATAAATGAGAAATGGAAATGATAAAGCAATTTTCTCCTGTACACATTTTTGTACCTTTTGAATTTGTAGCAAGTAATGGAAACCTATTCAAAAATTATTTTTTAAAAAGGTAACAAGTTGTTTGAGCAATCCCAAGTATGACTAAGAATTCAACAACTGTCAGAACTAGTGCAGCAATGACTCCTTTGCTTCCCATGTGTGGTAGGTTGTTTTGTAATTCAAGGATGTTGGAGATTTTAGTAGGAATATAGGGGAGTAGAAGAGTAAGCAGATAAAGAGCAAGATGAAATAAGGACAATGGAAGAAATAGCATGGTGTCTTTTTTCATTTAGCTCTTTGAACTGCTTGTGAGACCAGAAGGAGTAAAAGGGTAGATCTAAAAGATAAGAAACCTTTTCTACAGAGACTGAAACTGTGAACACAAATTCCACCACTTTGGTACTTAGGGACAAAATGTGGCAGGGAGAGATGAAAAAAGGTAGCTCTTTAATTCAGTTCTGTACCTCCTGGGCACCTTGAAGACTGGCAGCTCTGATGCACTACAGATAGCATTCCCAGCTCTGTTACTACCCCTCACAGAGGACCTATAGTACTGGAGCCCATAAGGCACACTGTTGTGGCCAATGGGAAAATGGACTTTCCAAGGAGGCTGCAAGAAAGAATATTAACTTGTTTCTGAATACATGTTTCTCTTCCAGGACTCCCAGAAATATCTAACAGGTCTCTGAAGGGGCTGTAAGCAGGAGAGAACTTTATATTCCATCTCTGTCTACCGATGATGAAGCCTAGAAACAATTATGCTACAAAAAGATAAAAATACTATAAAGAGAGTGAAAGAACAGAAAACAATACTCCAGCAAAACAGCCACAAGGAAACTCCTGCTGGATTTTTTTAAAACTCAAGCTACTGCTCACTGAACAAGAAGTGCAAGAGAAAAAAACCATGAGGATGGCTGGAAAGAGGTTACTCAAGGCTCTGCTGGGAACCAACACACTTAGTTATGCAGCACCTACTTTCCAAAGTGAAATCTTTCAACTGCTTTAAAATGTTTCTTTTCTAAGCCATTGAAAGCAATGAGATCATGTTTTTGATTAAGTGCCAGGGCTTTTTTTCCCTCAGCAACCCAGATAGTTGAAGTTAAATGAAGAAAAACTGGAAGAATGAAACAGGGTGAAGGTAAGAAGAATCGGGAAGAGAAAGGAGAGAGGAAGAAAACATAAATGCATTTTAACAAGCTAACAGTAAATTATGGAATAGCCAAATAGTTACTTTGTTTTCTAAATTGGGGATATTTTGCCTTACTCAAAAACAAAATATGGCAACAAGGTATTTATTTCAATTCAATCTATTTAACTGATGTCTTCCTATTTAACTTTATCCATAGTTAGAGTATTACACACAAACCCTTTATGCCCCACAGCACAAAAGTAACAGCTGTAAACACACAAATAAGCCATCTGAAAAAGATGCAGTTTGCAGTAAAACCCTAAGTCTTGTTGGACCATAAAAAATGAACGAATATGAAGGAAGCCTTAGGTAATGTGGGTTCATATGTTTTTCATTAGAGGGAATCAATAATATTCAATATCCTAAACAATGGATAATAAGAGATGTGACTTCTAAAATTAGCAAGAAGGTAAATACACAAGAAATAGAGATTAAACATCTCCTAATACAACTTTTTTGGCTCATAAAAAATAACCATAACATTGTCCAAGTATTATTATACTTCAAATCCATCACAGTGCCTTCCATCTATTGTAGGAATAAATTGCAACTGTATATTTGGATAACATCTTTATACTTTTCTTTTTTTCTCTCTCTCTCTCTCTTTTTTTTGACAGGCAGAGTAGACAGAGAGAGAGAGAGAGAGAAAGGTCTTTCTTTTCTGTTGGTTCACCCCTCAATGGCTGCTCCGGCCAGCGCACCGCGCTGATCCGAAACCAGAAACTAGGTGCTTCCTCCTGGTCTCCCATGGGGTGCAGGGCCCAAGGACCTGGGCCATCCTCCACTGCCCTCCCGGGCCACAGCAGAGAGCTGGACTGGAAGAGGAGCAACCTGGATAGAATCCGGCGCCCCGACTGGGACTAGAACCCGGTGTGCTGGTGCCGCAGGCGGAGGATTAGCCTATTGAGCCGTGGTGCTGGCCACATCTTTATACTTTTCAAAGTACCTTTACATTTCTCAGTTGATGTTCACAATGTCCTTTGAGGTAGGTAGAACAGGTTTCATTGAGTTTTGCAGATACCAAAACAGAAGAGATAAATCACAAGTCAACAAACAATGGCAAGGGAGAGCCACCAGAAATGTATACCTGGTTTTCATGACAAATGTGGTAATGCTATATTAGCTAATGGGGCCACTTTCAATATTGTTTTATGTACAAATACAAAAGCACAAATTGAAATAGAATGAAATTTGTCCCCTGTTGGCACAGTCCCCAGAAAGGAATGAAGAAATCACTAATCATCTCAGCTAGTCCAATAATAAATGGTTTTAGAATCAACTCATGATTGGATTTTTAAAAGTGTATATATACATGATGGAATATTACTTAGCCATAAAAAAGAATAAAATTCTGACATTCAAAACAAAATGGATAGAACTGGAGAGCATCATGCTGAGTAAAATAAGTCAGACCCAGAACGACAAATATCACATATTTTCTTTTATTTGTGGAAGTTAACAAATAGAGTACAAAAATTATGTGGGGCCATACTATTTGGTATTTTTTAATGATTTATTTGAAAGGCAGAGTACAGCGAGGCAGAGGTAGAGACAGAGAGAGAGAGAATGAGAGAGAGAGAGAGACAGAAAGAGAGAGAGGTTTTCCATCCACTGGTTCACTCCCCAAATGGCCACAACAGTTAGAGCTGCGCTGATCTGAAGCCAGGAGCCAGGAGCTTCTTCTGGGTCTGCCACATGGGTGCAGGGGCATAAGCACTTGGGCCATCTTTTACAAGTTTTCCAGGCCACAGCAGAGAGCTGGGTCAAAAGTGGAGCAGCTGGGACTCAAACCAGTGCACATGTGGGATGCTGGCACTGCAGACTGGGACTTTAACCTGCAGTGCCACAGTGCCGGCCTCTCTATTTGGTATTTAACTATAAAGTTGCTTCATTGAATCATACCATGTAAATGACAATATGGTCTTCTTTCCCCACATTATGATCACTGTCATGAATCCCTTTGAAATTAATGTTTTCAAGAAAAAAGAGTATATATGTGTATGTATATAATGTCTACATTTGAAGTAAATGTGAAAGTGTTAAAAAACTGTAAAACAAAACAAAACCCACATAACTCATAATTGATAACAAGTAAGAACAGTGAGTACCTTTTAAAAACATGCCATTACTGGAAAAATACAGCACACTTGAAACCTTCACAGACATGCATACAGAGATGTTTGTGGATCATTATTCATCAACCTCCTCAGTATGTATTAAACAATGACTGTATTCCAGGAACTCTTCAGCATATGACTTTACTACATATGAAGAACACAGTTTCTATCCCTATGAAGCTTTCAGTTTAGGAAGAATATTTGTTTACTTTACTTGATACATAGTATTTGTACATGTTTATGGGGTACAATGTGGGAGAAGTATTAAATATCACACATATAAATTCAAAGCTGCACTTGTACTGAATGCCATGAGAACATGTCATATGGAAGAACTGGCCTTGTTAGAGAGGCTAGGAAAGGATTCTGACTAAGCTCAGATCTGAAGGGTAGGCACATTATAGACAAAAGAAAGGAAGGAAGTACCACATCCCAGATGAAGGGAGCATCATGTGTAAAAGACTTATTCTGGGAAGGGCTAGGTAAAATGACAGATTAAAGAGCTTTATGACTAACACAACTGACTGGATTCAGAGCATCCAAAGGTGAGGTCAGGGCTGGTGTTTTCTTAACAAACTCTCTATGTAATATTAGATACCTTAAGGTTTGAGTGACCTCATCAGTATTCTAATGACTATTTTTTTTAAAGATTTTATTTATTTATTTTAAAGGCAGAGTTAGAGAGAAAGGAAAGACAGAGTTATCTTTCAACCACTGGTTCACTTCCCAAACAACCACAACAGTCAGAGAAGGGCCAGGCCAAAGCCAGGAGCCAGGAGCTTCTTCCAGGTCTCTTACATGGGTGCAGGGGCCCCAAGACTGGGCCATCTTCCACTGCTTTCTCAAGCCTATTAGCATGGAGCTGGATAGGAAGTGGAGCAGCCAGGACTCCAGCACCCATATGAGATGCTGGCACTGCAGATGGTGGCTTAACCCCTGCACCACAGCACTTGCCTAATAATTAGATTCCTAGTATCTACATGCTTCATCTGGGAATTGAGGTGGACTAAAAACATTATAAGGGGCTGGTGCTGTGGCAAAGTGGGTTAAAGCCCCAGTCTGCAGTACTGGCATCCCATATGGGCACTGGTTCAAGTCCCAGCTCCTCAACTTTCAATCCAGCTCTCTGCTGTGGCCTGGAAAAGCAGTAGAAGGTGGCCCAAGTCCTTGGGCCCCTGGACCCACATAGGAGAAC